TGCACAAAGTGAGAATGAATCGTCCGCTACCTTCGCCGCACCACTCACCAAGTGTGCACAAAGTGAGAATGAATCGTCCGCTACCTTCGCCGCACTACTCACCAAGTGTGCACAAAGTGAGAATGAATCATCCGCCAGAACATGAAATGATACACAGCCATAATTTTTGTCTTGGGTGGTGCGGCGAGGCCATTTGGCAAGACAGGAGAATAGTCCTCCCTTTTTTTTCAGACTTTGAACCAGAGAACGCTGCTGATGCAGCACTACGTCTTGGCTGGGGGGTGCAGGCCAGACTGTTAGTATGCACCGCATGATTTGCTACACAAGGATTGTGTCCTTCATTCTGGAGCAGATTGCGGCTGGATCTGAGCAGCCCAGGCTGGACGCTGCGTAAGGAGACGTCCAATCGGCTGGAGAGACTAATTGGCCACCAGTCTTCCTCAACTGGCAGGAGCACTGTGGAATAGCAGCTAGGCATATGAGGAGAGGTTGAGTTCTGCCGAGTTCCTCTCTCTTCTTTTCTTCTTCTCATCTTCTTCTCCTCCTCCTCTCCTCCTAAAAAAGAACGAGAGAGATCTGATTATAGTATTGTACTCTGGAGACCGCAGGTCTCCCAGAAAGAGAATTGATTCGTTTCTATGTTTGTGTGCCAATTTCCTCGAGGAGGAGTTCGTTTTGAAAGCTGAGAGGGATATTATTTTGCTGGCATTGACATATCTTGAGGTCTTTTCTCTCTACCTCATGTGAGGATTCAGCCCTCAAGTAGGGGCCTTGCCATGATGTACATGTTCTGGGCTAAGGCCCCAGCAAGCCTAGTGCCCGCCCTAAGTGAAGGCGGGCCAGCAAGTCAACAAGAGCCCTCTGTGCAAACATTTCCCGAAGTGGGGTTCATACAGTTGCAGCACGCCAGTTGGTTGGAGTGCACCGAGTCTCGACTTTCAGCAAATGCTGAAAACCCAGGGCCTCTGAGTTTGTTAGGCCCTGGGTGCTTGAACGTGAGGCCGACAATGCATGCTGGGTAGAGAGGCCAAAAATGCCAAAGGGAAATCGGCCCACTATCTGAATCTGGCCTCAGGCCTTGATGAAAGAGGCACAACTGCATTGCCCCGGGCCTCAACTGTATCGGGCTGGGTTCAGCCACTGGGGCCCAGTCGCAGGCTGAAGGGAGGCCGCCCACACGCAGCACTGGCATATAGGCAAGCAGGGCGAGTGGGCAGGCATCTTGGCCGATGCAGGCATTGCGGGCACGCTGCGCAAATGCATGTGTGCTGCGCTGTGCTGAGGTGAAGCAGGCTAGCGCTAGGCGGTAGGGCGCTGCCTGCACACAGGGCACTGGCGGCCATAGCCGGGCCGCATGAGGGTGCAGTGGAGGTGAAGGGCGAAGGTGGTTCTTCGGAGGTGAAGGGCGCTGTGTGGGTACAAGGGAGAATGTGGGTGAAGAGGACACGTACCTGGTGGAGGTGGAGGTCGGCATTGGTGTTGACATCATCACTCGCTGGTAGTCAAGTTGTCTGGTTGCTTTCATTGCTGTAGTTGTAGGCTTAGTCTGTAGAGTAGATAGGGCGCCTGGCGCCATTCATAAGAGAGAGCTACATTGGGTTATGCTGTTGGTGTTGCCCTGTTGGGCATGGACATTGGCTCACGATTCTTCTGTATCATTCGCAATTGGATGGTTACTCGGTTCCATTGTGCTATCTGCTCTGGCTTTGACTACTTGGACTTCAGTGTGATTTTGCATTCTGGATTTCTGTGCTTCGTCCATATTCATGTTCCTTGCACTCACTTCTTCTTCCTCCCTTCCTCCCTTCCTCCCTTCCTCCCTTCCTCCCTTCCTGCCTTCCTCCCTTCCTCCCTTCATCCACGCATGAGTGAGTGGCGAGGACCGAGTTTTGGTTCCGGTTCTATGTTTGGGTGGCAATTTTCTCGACCAGGAGGTTCTTTTGAAAATTGAGAGGAACTCGAGGAAGACTATTTTGCTGCCATAGTGGCATTGCCACATCTTGAGTTCTTTTACCTCTCACTCACTTCTTCTTCCCCTTCTTCCCTTCGTCCATAGATGATTGAGTGCGGAGCGTTCCTCCATGTACACTGTCCTCCCTTGCAGCGGTGCGATTTAGTTATCTCATCAGAGATAATGCCTTTTGCGTGAGTAGTGAATGCATTCCGTTGATCTCTGCGTGAGCTTGAGTCCTTCCCTGCTGTGCATTCCTCCTCCTCCCGCCCCCCCCCCCCCCCGCCCCTCTCTCCCTATGTCACGATTGGGTAGTTTACGCGGCTCCCGCCTTGCTTGGATGTGGTACCCATCTCTCAGGCTCTCCCTCTCTGGAATTGAACCCCAATTCTCCGCCACCTGTCACCACTATGGTAGGCCTCTGCATTCCCCCCTCGTACAGTTGACCTTAGTATCCTTGCATGCTTTAAATGAGTGGGCTGAGCAACAGGCGGCCGGAGGTCGTGTTATCTTTAGTAAGAGATGCCGATGATGTCGTTGTTCTTCACAAGGCTTGAAGAGTTGTTCACGGCGCTTTCAAGGATTGCTTTCACAATGGCTCCAACCCATGGGCCTGGATTTCTGGCAATCTTCTCACAATTTGGTCAGTTGTGATGCCGAGCGGAACTGTTTCTGGTTTCGCACTGAAACGTTCACCCAGATCCCTTCCCGCGATCTTGAGTACTTAAGAGTTTGGTCGTCTTCGTGACATATCTTCAATCATGGACAACAGGTGGAAGAGAGAACGGCGGACGCGAGGAAGAATACATGCACGAAAGGAGGGGCGGACGAAAGAGAAGGTGCGTGAAAGAAAATTTACAGCACAGTGAGCACAGTAGTGCACACGCAATTTCGATGATATCAACTTGCTACCTTGTGTGGTTTTGTAGTGTAATATGCAGTTCCTTTTATGAGTCGTCTAGGGATTACAAAATCATGGGGAGGCTGGAGTATTACTGGCAAGACTATTACAAATCCAGGTGAGAAGCGGTTAATGGAAGGCCCAACATTTGGCAAATTTTTCACCGAAACTGCCATATTTCCCTGAATTTTTACTTTTTTCTCGGTTTTTCTTTTTGCCTGTTATATATGTGCTTTAGGGTATATCTGTATTCAGTTTCGCCATATTTGGAGCAGTAAGAAAAAACTTAGCAAAAACACCAGACTCAAAAAAGGCTTTGGCGAACTCCGAAAGCTACTCCGAAAAGGGTTTTATAGTACTCTTGATTTTGTTTTTTTCATTTTTTTTTTTGCCTGATTGGTTTTTTGATGTTTGTATTATGACCCTGCATAGTTTGTTCGCAAAAGTTTCGACAACATTGCTTGTAGCGACGCGGCAAAAAACCCCGAATTTTTAGCCTTCCATTAACCGCTAGTGAATATGGAGTTACGAAGGAGTAAATGAATGAAAGCTAATAGAGAAAGATTGGCACAATGGCTTCTTACAACTGCTTACTGCTGCTCACTCACTTCCTATATCATGTGCATGCACAGTTATTGCAGCCAGCCTAACAAAACAGCCTGGAGTGTAGGGTGTTGGGCTCTGGAAGTCGCTCACCAGGACTCTGCTCTTCTGGATCACCACCTATCTTCATGAGATAATCTTGTTGTCCTCCCTCCAGGTCCCGTAGGGCGGGAGTCGTGCCCTTAACTGTACTTGGCATACTCCTCCATTGGCTTCGACGAGCATTCACAGCCCTGTCGATGATGTTGTCATACTTTCCACTGACACCCTGTGGACAGTTGGGCTTGAAGCCCTCTGGCACAGCTGCGCCGTTGGGCTGTTCTTTGCGCTCAGTGAAATCATCAATGCCTTCTGATTGGGGTTCTGCCGAGTGATGAGTTCTCTGAAAGGAGAAAGGCGGCAAGCACCGGAATCTCTTGGGGGAACCTGCCTGGACACCCCCGCAAGAGCCGACTGAAGGCCGGGGAATGAAGCAGGTAACCCCTATATTGATGGTTAGAAGGCAAAACTCAGTGTTTTTCAATCCCCTGGAGAGGAGCGCCATAGCCGCCTGGACAATCGCATCCCGCTTTCCAGCACTTGAAACCATACTCCCTGCAAGCTCGCATGGCAGAGTGCATGATAGAGATGCAGCCTTCCTTGGAAGCACGAAGCAAGGGAGGAAGCAAGAGAGAGAGAGAGGGAGGGAGAGGCACAAATCAGGGAGAAGAAGCTAGAGGGAGGGGGGGGTCGTCAGAAAGGAAGATGGAGGTACGGAGGGAGTGACGACGACGAAAAGGCAAAAATAGGAATGAATAGGGTGGGAGAGGGGCAAATGGGGAAGAACTGTAGCTTTAAAGGAAGGTAGTGAAGAGTGACAAGGCTCGGAATAGGGATGGGGGGTGTTTGGGGGGGGGCGGGAGGGGGTTGAGACAGAGAGGGAGACGGACGGGTGAGACAGGAGGGGGAGAGATTGGAGAGGGGCAAGGATGTGGAAGACGAAAGAAAGAACGAAGGGCATAGAAAGGATGGGAGAGGGAGAAGGAGAGGAGGGGAAACAAGGACAGTCTCAGAAAGAAAGCCAGAGGATAACAAGAGGGACGGGCAATGACAGGGAGGGGGTAGGACAGACGGGATTTGTGTGTGTGTGTGTGTGTGTGTGTGTGTGTGTGTGTGTG